GGGCCCCCCGGGGGAAAGGGGGGGGCCCTTTCATGGCGGCAGCTGCCACTGACATTCCACACTACAGCAACTATACTCGTACAAAACCAGGCCGTCTTTAGCATTCTGTCCTTTAAGCCAGGGGTGCCCAACACCCGGTATGGGGGCCGGTGCCGGTCCATATGTCATTATATCATCTGACAATGTTGCATAACAACAGGTTGTTGACCGCTGTTTTAAACTGTACCTTAAACATAAATCATAACAAGTTCTAAGTGAACCTCAACCTCATCTGCCCCACTTGCACCTTTTCTGGTTCTTTTGACCCCGCCGGGTTTTCAAAGTTCCCCCACCTTCAACCCTAAAATCCTTGCGCACTCATCTTTCAGGCGTCTGTCTGACATCTACTGACTTTGATTTCTCTACTCGCCGCTGCAGCCGGCAGCAGATGTGCAGAATTTGATTTAGCCACAGAGTCGAATCAAGTACGTACCCAGTTCCTTGGCCTGAGCGTGAGCGTCGTCCTCCAGTTTGCTGAGGAAGGGATTCTCTTGGGTCAGCAGTACTTTGATGTCCTCCACACTGACTCTGATTATCCTGGAGCGGATGTACGGCTGGAGAGTGTAGATACCCTGACGTGACACGGAGGACAGGGCTTTTACAATTTACAACCTGAGCTATAGCTGTACTTAGCTACATAAGGTTAGCGGAAATATAACTCTGCATAAGGAGGATAGGAGGATGTGTGTAAATATCTGTGTGTGCGTGTTGATACCTCCTGAGCTAATCTGAAGGCACAGCCAAACTCCTCTCCATCACTGTTGCGAGACCAGACCTTCACCCCCGTGTTAATGACCTGAGGAACGGGAAGAAAGGAAAAAACATATTCACAATAGTGAATCTATAGGTATACTTGGACGCAATAGCTTCGCAAATTAGCATCATTTAGAATTAGCAATAACTTTAAAACATGCATGTCATGGTGCTACTAACTTTAAAACATGCATGTCATGGTGCATGGTGCAGTCTGGCTAACAATGGCTGAATGTTTAATGCTTTTTTTTTATCTACTCATCCAGCGGTTTTAAAAGTCGGTGCCACCAGAGAGCGCTATGGAGTCCTAAGAAATTGGAGGAATTATTACTTTTATTGGTATTATTGTTTTTAAACTATTTGTCCTGCACTATTCAACATAGTTTCAGCAAGTTTCCGACGGCCCCTGAACGCCCCTCGTGTGACAGTTGTAACTTTAACATGATGATGTCATAATCTGGCAGTTTGCGCCTCTTATTAAGCTGCTCTGCTCCTTAAGCTAACATGTAGCTAGTAAGTGCAAAATGAATAGGTCATAAAGCAGTCAGAAAACAAAATGTTCATGTACTAATTTTTTTATGCTAACAAATAATTGTTGAAAATAATAATAGTTATAAATAATAATTATTGTATAGTGAATAAATGTAAGTAGTTATAAATAATAATTATTGTATAGTTAATAAAATTAAGAAAAAACATTCTAAAAGTTGGAGTTTCTTAACATATTTTGTAGCACTGTCTGTGGGTTTGTAACTAATGCTAAGCTAATGCTGTTTGGATTTGGATTTAAGATACAGTTAAAAGTGAAAGAATAAACCGTTATAACCTGAAAGATAAACCCATCTGTAAGACCTCTCTTTGATAGGCTAACGCACAAGCCAATGTGAACCGCACACACCTTAATGTGTTCACTGTTGTTGAGCAGCACATTGCGCAGCTCTTTGGACACCATGTACAGGTGTCTCTTCTTGCCCTCGTGGGACCGGGTCAAAACGTTAAGTTTGGGGAAATCGGGCGTCAGATTGTAGAACGACCTGGAGAAGAGAGCAGATGTGGATTTTTTTTAATTATTATTCATTTTCAAATGAATGAAACTATTTATAAAATACGTCGCAAACATACTACCGTTCTTACTGTATGGAGGTGAAGACGGGGTCATCGCCAGTTAGGAAGACAAACGGGTCCTCCTTGTAACCAAACAGTTTCATCTTTTTCAAAGGTGGAGGCCTGGACACCAGACAAACAAGAGGCAAATTTTCAATGAAACTGACGTCAAATATTTACTTAGTGGATTTGAGTGGATAAATGAAAATAAAAATCGATTCATGTCGTGGGCCAGATTGGACGGTTTAGCGGGCCAGATACGAACCGCGAGCCATCAGTTGGTGATCACTGTTGTAGATGATGCATTGAGGTTTGAAACAAAAAAAATAAGCACGAGTGACTGATTAAACGATTATTGTCCGAAAAACGTACATTTCCACGAGGGCTAACTGAGCAGAGGTGATGAAGCGTATTATTGTCTTTTCTTCTAATTGCCCTGTAGACCAGAGATGGTCTTCGTCAATCGTCCCCAGCAGACCAACGTGACTCACCCGCACACATCTTGCTTTGCAGTGGTCTCCTGAGTCTGGGAAGCTCCTTTGGTTGCAGCCGCCGCCTCATCCTCCTCCTCCTCCACAACCTCCTCTCCTGCTTTTATCTCTAAGCCGCCTTCCTCCCCCTCAACGCTCTCAGGGGGGCAGGGGGAGTCTGCTGGGGTCAAAGGCGCATGAGAGCCTCCGGTCTGTGCTGCCGAACTGGACGACACCTCCTTCCTTAGCTGGGGATAAAAGAGCAAGGGGGGGGGGCGTACAATGATTTGAAAGTTATTGGTCAGTGGTAATTAATAATACTGAACAGGTGATTTGTGTCGTGTGGCCACACGGGGCACTGCGCTGCTTTATTGCTTTTTTGCTCCTTGAGACATGCGTCAGGTATTTGGTGTTTGTGAAGATGTACCTTGGGGTTTCTTTTGCTCCACGGCATCGGGCTTTTCTTCACGAGCACGGCCACAAAGAATCCTCCAGTGTTCTGGTGATGTGGCAGAATCCTCATACTGTTGTCACACACACACACACACACACACATAAATAAATAATTCTAAGGAATGAATTGGTGCCACCTACTGTGAAGATGAAGTTTTTTTCTAGTCTTTTTTTTTTTTTTTTTCCAAATCACGACATAAAATGGGGCTGTTGTAAGACGCGCTAACAGCTCCC